ATTCCATTTTATTGAAGAGTGTAAGGATTCATGAATTGGTTTTAAATTCCAAACTGCTCATAAAAATTTATAAACTTGTTTTTGGTGTATTTGATGCGATTATCGGATCTTAGAATTTTGACCTTCTTTTCACATTGATTTTTAGTCATGATTTTCAAACATTTCACTTTTACATAATCTTGAAAAGTTATCAACAAAAATCATGAAATATTTGTTTCCACCTAAAGAGCAAGTACTCATAGGACAACACATGTCCGTATGGATAAGCTGCTACTTCTTTATGGCATTCTAAGCTTGACTTCTTGGGAAAGTTTGCTTGGTTTGCTTCTCAAGTTCACAACTCCACAAACTTTAAATAAGTCATTCAAAAAGGGCATGTCTTCTACCAAGTTGTCTCTATATAGATCATTAAGAGATTGCACACTGCAATGTTCAAATCTCTTGTACCATAAGTTGACATGATCCACTAAAACCGTTTTAGCACAAGCATGATTTAAATGTAAATAAAAACCTTATGTTCTTCATTTTAACCAAAAATAGTTCACACCTACTAAGTTCTATTATAGAGCATGATTTATTTTTAAACATCAAATAATATCATTTTTTAATAATTTTTCCAACATTCAATAGTTTTTGTTCAAGGTTAAGCATTAAAAACACATCAAAAATGGTTTTTATACTTGATGGGGTTGTCAAGATTACATATCCCTTTCTTTCTGCTTTTAAGTACTCTCCATTACTTATCTTGGCTCTTAAAATATATGACCTCCCCAGCCTATGAAAAAGCTTTCTTCTGGTGTCGTGGTGACTGTAGCCATAAACAATTAGCAGTATTTGATTATTTGAATTGGTTGAGTAGCATATGCCTAAAAATAGCTTCTCTTCCTGTTGTTTTTCATTTTTCAACCACTTGAGCCTTTGATCCACCTTGTATTTTCTTTTTTATACATACTTTTTCCACATGTCCAAATTGTTTACATGACCTATATAGGATTCTAGGTATATACCAGTAATAATTATCCAAGTGGTTTACTTTTTTACAATTGGGACATGGTGGAAAATTTTCTCTTTTCTCCCTTTTTTTGTTTCCTTTCTTCTATTATTTTTCTCTCTTATTAAGGCTTTTGTTTCTTGAATTTTAATGTTGTTTTTCCTTCTTTTTTACCAAAAATGCTCCTTCCACAACATCATCTAACCTCAAAGACATGCTTTATTCAATAGCTTGCAAGGCATTGATAAGCTTTATTAAAGACATGGCGGAGAAACCTTTTGAGTCTTCTAGGGAAGAGATTTTTACCTCAAATCTTTCTCGTAGATTCAACAGATTTTTTTTCCACAACTCTTTTATATGTAAGTTCCTCTCATATCACCCTTGTTTAATTCACAATCATCAATACTTTATTATTGAACTCCTTCACTATTTAAGCATCATTCATCTTCAACACTTCAAATTCTTTTCTCAAATTAAGCATTTGCATCTTTCTTGTTTTTCACTCCCTTGGAACTCTTCTTTAATTCCATCCCAAGCCTCCTTTCCAGTCTCAGAAAACATGATTCTTACAAAAATAGTTTCAGACAAAGCTAAATGGATGAAAGAAATAGCCTTGAATTTTTTTGCCATTTCCTCCTCATGATGCTTCTTTTGAGTGATTATTAGGTTTGCTCTTAAGGGATGAGGATTTTCTCCTCCATGCTTTTTAAAAGAGCCTTTATTCTAACCACCCAAAGCTAATAGTTTTCTCCATTAAAGTGGGTGGAGAAACACTTATTGAACTATCTGAAGCCATGTTCAGTGAATTGTATTTTGGTGAGTTTTACAGCATAAAACTTTCTCTTTCTCTTGGTCTCTTAAAAAGTTTGAAACTCTAATGCCACTTCTTAGAAATGTAAGTGAAAAGACTAAAGAAAAAGTAGAGAATAGGAAAAAGAAAATTAAGGCAAAACTTCATATTTATGCTTCATTCATGACCTTAAAAACATAATGATCCATTATCCAAGACAACTCCTATGTTGTTAAAAATAGAAAAAAAAAAATACAATTATTACACTCTTAAACAACTTTAGACATACCAAAACAAGATTATACACTAATACAAGCTTCTTACAACTTAAAAACCAAAGGATATAAAATATAAATATAAATCAAGATGAAACGAAAAACTTCTCTAGTTAACAACAAAATTGTCAAATCTTCAACATATCATTCTATGTGCCGTAACCATATTTACATTACTCCTAATAAAAGGGCCCTTATTTTTCAAATATATATATATATATATATATATATTATTCTAGAAAAGTCGGATGTCCTATAAGTTTAATGTACAAGGAAAAGATAAAGGATAATTTTGTAATTTTATAAAATTACAATTCATGGTGAAAATAGTGCTGGACAGGTAATAATCATATATATATATATATATATATTATTCTAGAAAAGTCGGATGTCCTATAAGTTTAATGTACAAGGAAAAGATAAAGGATAATTTTGTAATTTTATAAAATTACAATTCATGGTGAAAATAGTGCTGGACAGGTAATAATCTCTAACGTGATCAAGAGAGAGAGATAACATGTAATTTACTACCAAATATATATAAAATATATACATATTTATTTATTTATACATGACTTTTCACGATAATTAATTTCACATACTTTATATATATATATATATATATATATATAGATACAGCAAATATTGTGTCATGAAATACTTACTACACAAAATATTATTATTGGTTTTGTTTTCTTTTTTCAAAGTAACTGACGAATTCTTAAAGAGTAAGGACTAGGAGAATTATAAGAATTTTTTAAAAAAAAATTAAAAAGATTAAATTGAATTTTTAACCCATTATCATTATTTTATGGGGGGTACAACTTCATCATCATACTAATAAATCCTGCTTCCACTTTGAAAAGAATTTGGTATGTCTTAAAAAACATCCACATAAAAGGTACGAATTTTGAGGCTACTATTGAATCTTCTCAAAGAGACTGGACTCTCAAATTTATAGGATTTTTCATAAATATGTTTATATATATGTATATACACACATGACTTTTTTGCTTAATATATATATAAATATATATATACACACACACACATGGGCACAACATTTTCAGGCACCCTTAATTGTATATGTCATGAAAAGACTAACGTGGGTCAACTAACTTGCTGTCACATTCTACTTTTCTTTTTCTATATGAACGTCGATTGTTTTTAATAAATGTTAAACAAACCAAAGACTTCATTCTGCTTATATATTGAACCTATATATATATTCTTTCCCATGTCGTTAGCCACTTGTAGTAACACCTTTATTTGGTTTCACCTACATATATATAAATTACCCGACTATCATTTCATTAATATATAATATAATATATATATATATATATATATAGAAGGAGAGAGAGGGAAAAAGTTTGATTGATTGATAGATGGATATATAACGTAGCTAATAATACAATGTGATTAGGTTTGATCTCTTCAAGCTTCATGCTTGAGCTGGAACTTGAAAACGACAAAAGTGAGACTTGGAAGTCTAACTCTTCTCTTTTGGTCGATGTCTATAAAGCAAAAACGACTTTCTACCATTAATTTCCTTCCCACAATATATTTATATTAAAACTAAAAATTAATTAATAAGTTTAACTAATAACACACAGCCGCTTTTTAGGAAAAATTATTACAATTAAAAAGCAAGCAGTGAGACATGTTAGCTGAATGGAGCAAGAGCAGAAAACTGTTCCACAAGAGCTCAATGTTAAGTAGAGACTAATAACATTACTAAGTACCAAATAACAGCAATGAGATATGAAGGTCGTTCTTTTACCACAGTTTGAGTGCTCAGCCAACAACAACATTACTAAGGACTGATTTGTAGGTTCCTTAAAATATAATATTAACTTTTTTTTTTTACCTTTTTAACGGGTTTTCCAACAAAATTTACAAGAAGTTATAGGAACTTTGGATAATTGATTGAGTAACGAGTTAAATTTACGTACCATTAATGCTAATATTAATATGTTTGGGACATTAAAAAAATTAATTGATTAATCTTTTACTTTGTTTATTATAAACATAATTTTTTATTTACTTAAAAAAAAAAATTTGAAAATATTTATAGTAATCATTAAAGCGGATAAAATTAATAATATTATCTGTAAATAATACGTATTGAGTAATATAATATAATATAATATAATAGAGAAGTAAAGGTTGCAATTATTGGTACCATATACCGTCACTTAAACTTGAATGTGATATCATAGAATTTCTTCTTTACGTTAGTAATAAATAAGACATATGGTAGGTCGAATCCCAAAACTTTCAACTTGTAAAAAAATTTTACCACTACAATAACCCTTCAAAGTGGTGCCGACATAATGCAACTACGGGGATTCCCTACAAAAATTTTGGATACATCTAATCACTGTCCTATAGGTACGGGTGGGCCCAAAAATATGAGACCTATAAGAAATGTGGGTCCACACAATCCCTATCCGAGCACCATTCTGGTCTCGCACTCACCCACCTACCATGAGGGATTGGATTCCGTACAGCAACTCCATTTGGTACACACCATTAATGATGGGAGTGGTGTCTAAACGGCAATAATTAAATGTTTGATTTTTTATGGGTCCCATCCCAACTAAAACTTCTTTTTCACAACCGGGCCCATTACCTAATTACATTACACGTGAATCAAAACCCCACATAAGATCTGACTTACTCAACTCAGATTCTACTACTCTGCACATACCATTTAAATTAATAATAATACTATTAATATATTCAAAACCAAACTCTTTCATTGGTAACTTTTAGTCCCAGAAGCGTTCATTTATATTTCAGTGCACCATAATTTTGTGTTACCGACTTTTCAATCAAAAAATAAGATAACCAATTATGCAAATCAACGATTTCTGTCATATTGGGTTAAATTATTATCATGACGCGCGCATCAATAGAATAAAATTAACATGTCTCGCGATGATTTAAACCCGATTCATATTCTCCATTGGTGGATGAACAATCCAACACAAAAATATTTATAAAAATATATGAATTCAACTAGTCTATGAAGAACTTCAGTGGCAGAAAATAACTGAATTACGTTGAAAACTAACAACTCTCGATTCAAGCCTGCAGCATATCCCACTTGTTGCTCGTGCGCCCGAACAGTGAACTCATTACCTAAATCCTTAAATTAAAAGAACATAGATAGACCCAGATTTAAATTTATAAGTTGCTTTGGCAACTAGAAATTAAAAATAAATAAATAAAAACAAATGGAGGCACCATGAGGTACTGCCCCATTAAATTATAAAGATAGGAAGCCCAAACGAGTGCATAGTTGATAGCACTAGGGAGGCTGTCTCTTCAAGCAATAATCGAACATCTCAGAGGAGATCAAATCGAACACTTTGTTCCTCGATATGCCGGGGGGAAGTTGACAATTTCATATAACAGGCAATGATTGTAGTGTATAATAAACAAATAAATAGTAACAATAACTCACAATTCATTTGACATTAAATTAATTACTTCAAGAAATTGGAACTCAGTGCAGCTGCATGGGCCCATTAGAAAGAAAACATATAATTCAGTCACGATCTGTAGCTGTAATTTTTTATTCTTTTAAAGGTCAAAGCAGACTTTATGGATAAAAATCAGTTAGTGCATAATCTAACTGCAGATGCCTCACTAAGTTATTCTTATTTCTTTCTTCCACTCACTTTTTCAACGAAAGATTATTTTGTGTAAGATGATGTAATATAACTTTTTTTTTTTTTATTGGTATAAATTTTAATTAACTAATAAAATCAATAGAATGTAATTTTTATTGATTTACTAATAAAAATGTAATATCAAATCAATATATACTTGTAGTGTTATATACAAGATTACTATTTACCTTTTTTACTGCTCTTTCATCTCACTCTTGTTAATAAGAATCTTATGGCAACTCAGAATCCAACCAGCAGCCAGAAGAAATTTTCTAAATTCAACTAACCTGAAATGGATAAAATACTCAAATTAAATCACATTGTATAAATGTGAAACAATTGAAAGCCACCATGAAATGAAAGCATCTAAAAAAGGGGCTCAAAACTCAACTCTGATTGTACTAGTAAACTTTCTTAGTAAGAAAAAAAGAGACTTAGAGGATCCACTACCAGATGCAACTTGCATAAGCTTGAACAAAAGTACTTTGACAGTGGAACTAATTGATTAGCAAATGTAAACCAATGGTAGCACAGAGAAAAAAGAAAGAATATATATGCCCAAACTTGTGAGAATATAATTCACATAGGAAAGGGATAAACACCTTACTTCTTCTGACTATATGGAGCGCAATTCAGTCCAAAACCCCTTGAATATCCTTTGAAACTCTAAAGTCAGCTTCCAGGTATTATCATAACCTGCAAAATTAACGTAATTCCAATTATCTGACAATTAGCATACACAAAGTGGGGGAATTTAAGGATTTGGAAACTAGGAACATCCAGCCTCTAGACACTCTGATACTCCATGAGAGGTTTAGCCAATAAAAGACATGCAGAATGTGCATGTACTTACTAATAACAAAAATGTCATGTCATCAATTAAATAGTTGGCACAAACCAAAAGGGAGAAAAAATAATACCCAGAATATAGGTATCTCATTTTGGTATTTCCTCATATCTTCAACTTACAAGATAGGTAATACTGCAACTTAAAAACCGGCGTCTTTGAAACCTAGGTAAAAGAAAGAACTATGAGCCAAAAAAAAAAAGGAAAAGTGTGCTTTAAATATCAAATAGAGGAGTAATTTAACTGGCCTTCAATGAAACTTGAGCTCAGAACCAAGTCTCCTTGAATCTGTTGTCAAAACTAACAACGTAAAATAACCTTGAGAGGGTTTGTAATATGAATGTTAAAATGCCTTACTATCATTGGAAGTTGTAGAACCAAAAGGAAGGTAAGAAATGAAGGATCTAGAAAGATGGGAAGACTTTTCCTCTTATGGAAACATATGAACTACAGGACTTCCAGCAACCATCAACACTCACATCAACCTATGTCCCATCCGAAATGGAGTTGTACCTGGGACTCTATTTACACTACCAATAATCAAAAACTAATAGAAGCAATTAAACTATACTGCTTCCAGCAAGCACTAACAGAAATTAGCCAAAAGAGAGAAGCCCTTCAGCACCATTATATCTAATAAAAAGAGAACATGTTAGATTAAAACATAGTAGCTGAGCTGAAGCAGAGACTGGAAAGCTAAAAAAGATTAAGAAGAATTAAAAATGGATATTAGATTCAAAACTAACCCCCACGCCACTATCAGGGAAGAAAGAAAAAATAAAGAGAAATCAGGCAACATGCTTTTTGATGCAGAACAAGATCATCTTAATGTAAAAAATAAATTTATATTAAAAAAACATTTTATACTTATTATTATTTTGTACCTTTGGTTCATTTAGCCTTACCTAGATTTTAAGTTATTAGAACTTTATGTTATTTAAGTAGATTTTAAGTTATAAAAGTTCTTGAGTTCCTCCTTAATTATTTTGATGATTTATTTTGTTAGTTGTAAATAATTCTTATACAAAGCTACTAACTATCAATAAATAAGAAGAAATGTTAACAAATTTAAGAATTTATTTGACAGGATTTTCATTCTCTGTTAACTTCTGTGTTCATACTTCTTGCTATTGTTTAATCAACTCTATTATGTTCAACTTATTTCTCCCAATATTTATTTTCCTTGATCTACAATTTCCTATAGTTTATCTTTTTTCTTTTATTTCTCACCTAAATTTCCTCTATTTTTAAACTAACTCTCAGGATAAATTAATGTCAACCTGGTTTGCCCTGCATCAGTTGGGATTGGCATAACTGTCATCACCACCTTCTGCCTAAACTCTATTACTTCAAAAATCCTTTATGGAATAAAAAACTAAAGATTAGGAAAAAATAAGAAATAGAATTGAAAAACAAAAAGTCACAAATCAGCTACATCGCCAGCAACACACATCACTAGCCACCATTGGTAGGTGTCATAACACCATCCACGTTATTGGATTCTGATGATCCCAACCAGCTTACCCACTAAATTTTGTCGTTAGGTTCACCGAAGACACGACACTCACCATGTAGAGATTGGAGCACTGCTATCTTGCCAGATCATCACATTTCCAGCCACCACATACAAAAATGACTAATGATCCTAAATCATCATCATCATACAAGCCCTCTGCCATAAGATTGACCCTCACTATTTATAGGAAACCAACGTGTGGTGCTCACATGCCTCCAACTGCAAGTGGGCATTGGCATTTTTTATTGGTTCAACACTTATTTAACAAGTCCAGTTTACCTCCTTCCGTAGCGATTGCGAATAGATCCTAAGCTTTCCCAATGTGTTCTACCCATTTATCAGGTCATTTTAGTTAAACCCACACCTCAAAGTTACTTTGAGAGCATATCAGCATTAAAGGCAACAACTTGACCTGGAATCTAATCAACTTCTCTTTGTAATTCATCATATAATCTTCCCCATTATATACAATGTGCTGAACCAAGTTTTGACCCATATGGATGGGAAGAACTACTGATTCTTCACAATCAAGCTTGTATCCAATATCAATGCCTTATAGATGCTATTTGTACCAAAAATTCTTTAACTGGTCAGTCCATTTATGCTAACTGTTGTTGGATGAGTATTGAGCATGAACTTAACCTATATTTGAAGGTTAATTACGGCATACTACACAAGAACATAAAACAAGGTTTAAAAAATCTTCAATAAAGGCTTCTCATAACTTAGAGAGTGGAACCATAAAGTTTCTTTTGAACCACCTCCACTGACAGTAGAAGAATCAAACTCTTAGCAAATCTGTTCCTGCTGATCATGTTAAGAAAGGTGTTTCTCAGTGTGACTTTGTTTTGCCTCATGTTCCTCTAGAATCTATAATCAAATGATTAAACTGCAAGGGTTTGAAGTGCGAGTTCCTGTTGTGTTAGTGCTAATGCTTCATCAATCCAAGCTCGAAGTCAAATTTTCACAAAGGGGAGAAAATATTATAGAAAACCAAAAAAAATAATTTGGAATAGATTTTCTATTAAAAGATTGTAATTAATGTTTATTATCTTTGATTTACTTATCTTATTAGGCAGATTTTAAGCTATAAGAAAATTAGGTTACTTTAGGTATATTTTAATTTACAAAAGCTTTTGAAATTCCTCTTTAGTAATTTTTCCTTGTTAGTTGTAACTAATACTCATATAGAGGCTAGTGGTTATAAAAAATAATAAGAGATAACAGTTAATAACTTATTTGCCATGGTTTTACTCTTCTTTGTCTTTCTGTACATTCTCTCTATAGTTTCTCACTTTCATCTCAAATTTCCTCTAGTCTATCTTTATTTTTCTGTTTTCTACCTAAATTTACTTTATTTTAAACTACACATAGGATAAGTTAGTTTTAACGAGGTTTGTCCTACAGCACTTTTTCTTTCTTAAAAATCTTGTTTTCATTCATTAAGTAAACTCTCACTTTTCCAAACCATGGATTGAGTACCTTAAAGAATTTCGGATTAACAGCATCATAACTATATTCTCCCAACAATCTAAATAAGAGTCAAATTGACCATTTCAAGAGTATCATTTGGTCACTGAGATTTAAATAAAAAAGAATAAGAATTGCTAGAACAATCAAAGTTTCTGATTCTTCATTAAAAAACAAATATTAGACCATGAATTTGCCAAAAACAAGCTATCAAACACCGTACCAAACTAAATTCAAAAGTCATTTCCATGAAGGTGCGATTTAAGAATTCTTAATTTCATGAAAAGGAGTAATATATTAAGAACACCCTTATAGTTTCACAATTGTCTCAGATTACACCCTACATTTCTAACTGTAGCAATCTAGAACTTGCAACATGACCCCTATATCAAATTGGCCTTTTTAGTAAACAGCGATTCATGAGTGGAAATGTTGAAAAGTAGGATATGACATGTGATTAAGGATAAAATCATCCAAAAATATTGAAAAACAACTAAAAGAACATGTCTTCTTTTTTCCTCCTTCCTTCTTCCTCCATTCCATTTGTCTCTGTTTTCCTATATTATACCTTACTCTTCTCTTTGCATTTCTTGCAATATTTTGCCACTTGCATTTTGATCAGCACTTTTCCTTTCACGTTAAAAAGTCATTGATTAAGTGTGAACTCCCACCTCTGCCCTTAAAGCACACCCTCTTGTTGATTAGTAAGTCATCGCATGGGCCAGCTGAACCACCACGATTTGCACCACTATTAACTACAATATAAGGGGATCTCTTTTTTTAAGATAAAAGAGAGCATTGATATTATAAATAAATGTACCAAAGGGGTATCGCTCGTATACAAAAATAATTACAGATCAATCAAGTGGTCAACAACTAGCCCAATATCTTCCCAATCAAGAATGTCATGACCTAACAAAATAGAATCAAAAATATTAATTCATTTATTACTAATATTTACAATGTTAATTTCAACGCCTTCAAAAGCCTATCATTTCTCTCCCTCCACACAATCGAAAAATTGGTTACCTTGGTCATCAACCATAACCGCATCAAGAATTTGTCTACTTTCAACAAAAGCATTTTGGTTTTTCCCAATAACCTCCCCCATGACCTTGGACATTCTTGTAGTCAATACCTTAAAAATCAATTTGTACAAGCTACCCACAAGACTTATTAGCCTAAAGTCTTTGATATTTTTGGCTCCAACAACCTTAGGAATGAGCACCAAGAATGTAGAATTTAAGGACCGCACAAAAGCACATGTTCTATGAAACTAATGGAAAACTGCCATAACATCATCCTTAAGGATGTTCCAAAACTCTTAGTAGAACTTCATATTGAAGTCGTCGGGTTCTGGTGCCTTGTCCCCATTGTAATTCCCCAAACTACTCTTCACCTCCTCTTCTGTAAAAAGGGCCTCCAAGCTCACCCTACTGTCAACCAACAGTTATTTGAAAGGCAACTCATCTAGTCTGGGTGTTCTATCCTCGTCCTCTTTATATAGATGCATAACGAAGCTCATAGCTTTCTCCCTCCATATAGCATTCCCCTTCATTGGTTCCCCATCAAAGAACATCTCCTCCACATAATTGTTTTTCCTTCAAAAATTGGCCAAACTATGGAAGTATTTGGTGTTTCTATCTTCCTCTTTTAGCCATTTTTCCGTAACATTTTACCTCGAGGAAATAGCCTCCAAGTTCATACTGGCAGCAACTTCTTTTTTAAGAACTAACCTTCTCTCCCTATTAACGTAAGAGGGTACGGGGAGAATCAAATCAACTCCTATAACTCACTCAACGTATATAATACAAAAATTTAACCGTATAGAAAATCTTTTACTCTAATTGAATTTACAATCTTAAAAGGAATGCAAAAATAAATAATAGGAAAAATAAACAACAAAAAAAAAAATATCACAGATTTACCGATAAAAAATATCACGGATTTAAAGACTTCTGCTTTTTGAAGAACTTGAAGAAGATAAAAATTAGCAAAAATGCTAATTAAAGAAAAGTAAGTTTCAATAATATTTCTTTCAATTGATTGTAATTGTGTGTTTACAACCTAGGAGTAAAAACCTATTTATGAACTTTCCCGTAATAGTTCTAAATGATCATAATTACTTGAAAAAATTAATAAAATAATATTTTACATAAAATTATATCTAATTTTAGGATAATTATATAATAAAATATTAATTCTATCATATCTACTTACAAAATAATTAATTAAATAATCTTATAAATAAAATTTATATTAAAATAATAATTAAAATAAGATAGACTTTATCTCATGTGATTTTCACGTAAAACACATGGAGAATTTAAATTAAAACATGTGGTAATTAATTTAAAAACATGGAGAATTAAAAAGTGGGGTCTAATTAAAATAAAAATTAAAAAAATGATTAAAAAGGTGGGGAAGGGCCAGCCGGGTCAGGGGCTGGGTCAGCTAATCAATGCGGGTCGTGCGAAACAGGCCCGCTGGTTGGGCCACAAGCTGCACGCTAGGCCTACTGGGCGGATGCTCGGCACGCGTGCAAGCAGCCTTGTTCGCGCGTGAGCCTCCCTGTCCACTTGGATCATAAGTGGGTAAAGGTGGATGGGTTCAAATAGTTGGTTGAAAAGGAGTGGCAGATGGCTTCTGTTAGTGGTACGGGTAGCTTTGTGTTTGCTACAAAATTAAAGGCTTTGAAGACAAAAATTAAAACATGGGCTAGGAAGGAGGAGGGCAAGGCTGAGAGGATGATTTATGAAAGTCTTAGGGAGTTGGAAGAGCTAGACAGCAGGGAGATGGAGGGGCAGTTAAGGGAAGGGGATAGGCGACGCGATACCAGCCAAAGACAAAATGACAATGGACGAGCAAAACTCCTCTCTCCCTAACGTTATCTCAGGTTCTTATAATTCAATGTCCATCACCCAATCTCACGTCGACCAAACACCTTCATTTGTCACTGGACACAGACTGAATAGGAGTAATTATCTCTAATGGTCATCATCCATACTCATGTTCAGCCGAGGAAAGGGTAGGAGATGAATATCTTACAGGAGAAGTCACTCAACCATCAGCAAATGATCCAGGAGCCCGTTCGTGGAAGGTCGAAAACAACCTTGTAATGTCTTAGTTAGTCAACTCAATAACAACAGAGAATGGAGAGAACTTCTTGCTGTATGAAACTGCGCATGACATCTGGGTGGCCGCACGCAAGTTCTACTCCAGCCGAGATAATACCTCAGTCATCTTCGAAATCGAGACTCACCTGCACGACCTGCGACATGGGGAGCTCACCGTGACTCAATACTACAATGCACTCACTCGGAATTGGCAGCAGCCCGACGTCTTCAAAGAACATTAGTGGAGTTGTCCCAAAGACTCCAAACTCTTCAAAACTCTCACCGAACGAAAAAGAGTCTTCAAATTCTTGATGGGTCTCAACAAAAATTTAGATGAAGTTCGTGGTCGCGTTTTGGGTACCAAACCGCTACCAAGTCTCAGATAAGTTTTCTCTGAAATCCGTCAAGAAGAGAGTAGGAAGAAAATCATGATGGGGGATCCTTACTCTAGCCCGAACTCGACGGAGACA